CCCCTCTGTTGAGACCACGGTCCGCACGACACATTTTTACATATTCCGAAAGAGTTTTATGCAGCACACCGCATTTTTTGTATTCCCCTTTATATATATCTCGGCAGCTCTGATACGTTCCTAAACGATCGATTCTACTGTATTATTCACTGGTTTACAGTAAACGATTGATAATGACGAAATCCAATCTACAGACCGGATGCATGTTTTTATGCTTTGTAGAGCTAAATCCTCACTGCATCGTCTACTTCGTTTTCAATATAGACTCCTTCACAGCCCTATCATGCCCTCCATGTGTTTGCTTCTGAGCAATCATCCTTGAGTGTTCGCCCTCATCATTTCCGAAGAAGGGAGCGTGTTTGCAAGGTACGAGTATGGCGATCTATATGAGGAAATGGAAGACACCCGGAAAGCTCGAGGCAGTGACGCGTGTATGGGGTTACTTTCACCTTGCGCAGCAAGTGAGGCTGGGCAAGAACGTTATCGGCGCTTGTCAGGGACTCGACCAGCGTCGGCCATTGCGGTTTCGCGTTTCGCGAGGGCATTGTTGGCGCCACATTATTTGAACCCTTCAACTTGCTCCAAATCATTCCCCAAATCACAGGATGGCTCCTTCTTACTCTCAACCGCCCTATCCCGGTCCTACACCGAATTATTACCCTCCAGGTCCACACCAACAACAACTCTATACTGATGTCAAGTCACCATACCAAGATGAATTATACAAACCACAGAAGAAGATTAATGATCCTATATTGTTGGTTCTTTTCATACTCCAGGTGAGCACAGGCTTCGTTTGAATAGTTCAACTATATCCCAGCTTGTCTGGGGTGGTTGAATGCTGTATCATTGTATGGATTGGGTATTAACGCTTGGGCGCTCTTCGCTACCGTAGTTCTTAGGGTTCGCGGCGTTGTCAGGGATTGTAATCAAGGACTGGGTGAAGACAGGAGGTGCTGGAGGTGGTCTTGGGAAGCCTGGGGCGGCGACTGGACTGCACGTCACGTTGAACCAGTATGTTCAATCATTTCCTCGCGAAGTGGCGCTTATGGCTACAATAACCTCTCGAACTACCCGTTCGCTTTTCATGATTTCCTCGACGCAGGAGCACCGTTTACCTCCTACTTCTAGTTACGGCGGCTGCGCTGCTGCTTTCCGTCGCGTATTTGATACTTACGCGGACTTTCACAAGAGCTGTTATGCACGTTACGTTGATCCTTTCCATCTTGTTGAACATGTACGTCTTACTTCCACATTGCCCATCGCATGTGGCATGCTGACGCCTTGTTGAAGTGGATTATGCGCCTACTATTGGATCACCAAATACTACTGTACGTATTCGCACTCCAATCACACTCCACTCCTCGAGAGGAAGTCCTGACGAGAAGAACCCGATTACAGCCGCAGCCATCATCTTCACCATAATCGCGCTTCTGTCCGTATTCGCGTATTGGGGAATGAAGAGGTTCATTCCGTTAAGCTCGCTTCTATTACAAGTCGTAATGGACGTGTCAAAACACCATAAGAGCGTGTTTGTAGTCTCGTTCGTTGCATTGTTGGCTCAAGCCGGTATGGCAGTGTAAGCACGCGTTTCTATTCATCAATTGTCGACGATAGCAATCTCACTTTCGTGTTCCTTTCGTTAGGTGGTTCACGTTTACTGCGATTGCTACGTATTCCAAATATACCCCAGGAAGCCCAGGTGCGTATTATGGACTTTGATTTCAACCTCGTCTGTTTACCTCGGTACTACTTATCTAATAGTATGTTCAACCGCCGGTTCCTCGTGTTCATCAGCAAAAGTTACTGGTCTCATTGTCTATGAGCTTTTCTCCTTCCTGTGGACCTCACAAGTTATTGGTAATGTTGCCTTGTCAACCGTTGCTGGAGGTCCATATGGGACTTGGTATTATTTTGGTCCCAGAGATCAGGGTCAAATGGTAAGCTTCAAATTCACGTTTTATAAGGTCTATGTTCAAACTTGTGATGCGATTTAGCCAAAAAACCCTACTTTGGGTGCATTTGGGAGAGCTTCGACAGTCTCGCTGGGATCCATTGCATTTGGCTCTTTGATTGTCACGATTTTGGAGACTATTCGCATTCTTTTGCGTGCTATCGAAAATAATGCCAGCGTTGATGGACACCGTAAGTCCTTGTCCGTTCCCCCAGTCCTTTTGGTTATCAACGAACTCCGTCTTTAGCGGTCGAGGCGATTTTGGCGTGTTGCGCTGGTTTACTTGTTGGCTTCATCGAGAACCTGGTCGAGTACTTCAATAGGTAAGTCTCGTTTGCGTATTTGCATTTTCTGATCCAACTGCTTGCCTTCACTGTAGATACGCATATATACAGATAGGTAAGTTCTTGTGCGGTGAGTTTAGCCAAAGCTCAACGTTTTTCGTAAGCCCTCTTCGGGAAATCCTACATCCCAGCGGCAAAGGATACATGGAGGATGTTCAAGGACCGGGGTAGGTGCAACTTTCCACTTGGCCTGGCACTCGGCCTAACCACACTATTTTTCCCGTTCGGTCAGGTCTGACTGTGCTTGTCAATGATTCCCTCATTGGAATGAGTGAGTCTTGCTTCGTCCTTATGAATCTCAACTTGCTTATGCATAATACCCAGCTATGATTTGGGGGGCCTACGCCGTAGGATGCCTATCATCCTTGTTTGCATACCTCTACCTCAGAAGTTCGTTTTCACTAACTCCTTTTATGAGAGGGGCGCAATCTCACGTTTTGGCTTGGTTGACAGTTACTGCGCCCTCTTATAACGCTTCGGGCGACTACACCGTCCCCGTCGTTCTGTTTGCCTTTTTGATTGGTCTTCAATGCTGTAAATTATTCTCTCGATTGCTATGTCCACTTCTGATCAAACGTCTTAGGCTTAACTATGACATCATCTATTGAGGCTGGTGTTTCCACAATGTAAGTCAATCCCTTGCCCTCCAAATCCAGAGTGCTGATGTGTTCTGTAATAGATTTGTTGGTTTGGGCACAGACCCGCAAGTCCTCGCGGAGAGGGCTCCTGAACTGTTCGCTGTAAGTTGTTCTTATTGCTTCGTGCGATGTGGGTATTGACAGTCTTGTAGATGATTGCTGAGCACTATCCGGATGTCGTGAGGCCCGTAGTGTGAATGTATAATGATTGAACAAATGATTACAACTATATGCCCTGGATTTAGTCTTTTTTTACGGTATCTACATACACCTTATTCACCGACCTTCAGAACACACAGAACACACAAAAACGGGTTTGATATGGACTCAATCCTAATCTGGTGTTGTTCCGGGGTCACGAACTTAGTTATCCTAATGAATGTTACTCAATTATACACTTCCCAAATGTTCTCGGACACCGAGATTAATCGATTGATTTTATACAAGCGGAAAACACTATTCATGTGTACTCCAAAACTAGAATATCAGTATCAGAACGTAGGCATATACGCCCGGCGAAACCGTCGAATGCGTAGACTTGTGAGTCATAATCAAGGTCGCCCAAAAGGAATTTACATATTTGGAGCGAAAGACGGCCATCCTCTTTCCTCCTGATCTGATAACCTTGTAGATAGGGCTGCCCAGTAACACGGGAAATCACTGGCAGGCCGATTGATCTGGACACACCCTTCCCAGAGGAGTGTATGAAGCAATGGGAGATAAATTGCCAGGCGTTACTCCCATCACTGATATCGAGGTCTTCGAGGCTCTCGATGATTCGACCACCGGGGAGGAGGTGGAGTCGCATTATAAGAAGAGAAGCCGTCGGTGGTGAGGACCCGATAGAGAGGATTTCCAGTGCGTTAGGGTATGAAGAACCACTGGTAGAGCGTTCATGGACGAGTACTCCAGGTGGGCAGAGGAAATCTGTGTTTCCGTAATGAGATGGTTGAAGAGGTAGCTCCGAAGGCTCAGACAAATCCTTTAAGGGATAAGCCTCGAAAGACGTCTTGTTGTGGTCTTGATCGCCTAAGATCAGAACGATGTGAGTCGAGGATGAAACGGCGTTAATGTCTTGTACAAATGAACTATCCTATGGTTAAATCAGAAAACGGTTGGAGCATGAATTCCTCTGAGTAGAACACTCACAACAGGCAGTCTCGTTTCGATAAAGTGATGCTCCTGCGTGCGTAGATTATATATAAACCGGCCAGCTTTGTTGGGGTGGATGTAGACAATGAACTCATCACGGAGTGTGATGAGACGGATGCCCATGGGGCCGACTGCAGGTATTATCAATGAGAGTTTGGAGATTTGTTGGTCTGGCTCCGATGGAAAGCAGCGATAGATAGTACTACGAGGCCAACCATGTGCATAAAATAAAACAACATTCGAGAATGGCGTACATTTGGTCATCCTCAGGAACACGTATGGTGGTCCGCACAATGTAGAGACCCCAACTCCCATTCTCGTATACCTCAGAGCACTGGTAGGAGGAACCATTGATGCCCCATGGAATATCCAAACTTTCGTCTTCATAGCTGATTGTTGGTGATTCCGAGTGGAGTGCCAAGTCGTATATCCAAAATCTCGAATGCTGCGCCAAGAAGAGGTAACGGTGAAGTGCTATTTTTGTATGCTGGATTATGGTAACTGGACAGGTCAACCGGTGGATGGTCTTCGGGTGGCAGATTGGATAGTCCCAGCAGTTGTGAAATCGTTGAGACCGACAGAGGAGTTGATCTATCTCATGCACTAGAAGTTCTTGAATTGGAAGCTTCGGCAGTAGGAGGGGAGATTGCTTATAGACAGCTCGCCAAAGAATGAAATCCCGGGAAAGAGTCCAGAAGCGTTTCGATACCTAAGGGAATAGGTTACTTCCCCTACACCGACCGCTGCTGTTCAACGTTTATCACCCACCAGACGAAGTGACACAATATCGATCGGAGACGAGTGAAGAAGAATTAAGAGAGCCAAATCATCTGGAATATGGTCCCAGTATGATGTTGAGGCCATGACTGGCAAAAATCTAGCTGTTTCCTCGTTCTGGGCAGAGAAAAAAAGTGTCCCAGGGAGGATTCGAACTTCCGGCTTCTCGGAGCTGATCACCCGAAGGTGAAGGACCACAACGAGATGATTTAACCACTAATCGACAAGGACTTGTTGAGTGACCTTGGATTAGCCATCATATTCGCTAAAGTGGAGGGAAGAAGTTTGAAAGAGGATCCTGGCACAGGATTCTACGACAGGGCTTCTTCCTGATTGAGCCTCAATGACATCCTAAAGGCTTCCTTGCTGCCTTCTCGCTCCTTCAGCAGTCCCTTTGCCTCCCACCATGAGGACGTCTTCTTATGTGTTGACCTTTTTTACTGTGGCCCTTACTCTCGGCCTGGTGAGTGTTCGCTCAGGTCGTCAGCCCTCCAGTTTGTGGCTTCTCACACGTTCGTCGTAGAACATCTTGTCTAACAGGAGGGTGGACTGGTGAGCATCCGCCCCGTCTTCGTCGACCTTTCTCTGAGAAATGTCGCTCTAGGTTGACAGTGACTTCACCCGAGGTACTGAACACTGTAATCACAGTCTACTACGGCCTGTATCAGACCTGCGACTGGACCGTAACGCGAATTCCCAACCGCTCCGGACACGGCGGTCTCGAGTACACCGACTACACGTGTCGCAGTTTTCCTCAGCCCGAGTCAGACAGATGTGACGACAAGAATCGCACGTTCTGCGCCGAGTGGACAACGGCTCGGTATGTCTCAGAGTTGGCAATGGGATTTGGCGCTGTCGCCCTCTTTGCGATATTATTCGGCGTGACCACTCGTTCGAGAAGAAGAAGGATATGGAAGACTGTTGCAGTGCTTCTTTTCTTCCATGGTTCGTCCTTTTGCAAAGTATGCCCCCTCCACGCACTGACATTTGTTTACAGCCACTCTTCAGATCGCTGCGTTTGGTTTGATCACAGACCTATACCGCACGTCCAGACAACCTTCATTCGATCAGGCGCGGCCTGGTAAGTTGTTCATTACTTGTTCTTTTACCCTTTCCTCAAATATCACTAGGTATTGCCTATGTGGCGAACACAGTTTCCTGGGTTGTCGGCGTCTTCTTGACCTTCACTGTGATCATCACTGGCATTGCGGCCGACAATGGTCACTCCTGGGCCGCAGGCCATCGTCCATACCAACCAATTCTGGGCTGAAACACCTTGCACGTTGCAAGTTTGTATAGTAATTGACGTTGGATAACGTCCCTTGTTGGATTGTCTGTATCGTATCTCGTGAATCTATCTCAAACCTGTGTAATATTCAGGAACCCAAAATTCCTTCCAATGTTATACTGTACATACGTGTGCAGGTAAGGATTGTGAGAGCTAGACTCAAAACCAAAAAGGAGAGATTGAGAAAATTAATACAGAGAAGTTGCAGTGAGTGTGGGTGTAGCGAGTTGGTCGTGATATGCAAGTCCGGTTGGAGAGTGACTGGTTGTACGGCTGTGACGAAGAAATAATGAAAAAGACTAGAAGGAAGGGAATTGGAAATGGATTCCTGAATAAACACAATGAAAGAGAGGGTACCAGCATCAAGCAAAAAAAACGAAGAAAGAGAGAAAAGTGTCTTTGAGACCCTCGAGAAGGAATTGATAACAATGCAAGATGTAACAAGTAATAAACGCTCAACAAAAGGAAATCTCGGACATCAAAGCGACAACGAACAACCAAGCCTGTCTATTACCGGAGGAGATCCAAACGTTGGTCATTAGAGGGATAACGATAAGCAACAAACTCAGGATCCTGTGCGACAAGTTCTTCCAATGGCTTCCGTCCAATAATGGAATGTCTTGCCGCAGGATTGCCATTGCTCATCCCGCTATGTCGCGAAGTCGATGTGGCGTGTCCAGTAGCAGTATGATTGTCGGGGCTATCCGAGCCGCTTCTTCCGTTAGGAGGGAGCAAAGCAGGATCGATAACATCTGCGTCATGCTTCTTACCGAGTAAGGACGAGAAACCGAATCGACTTTTGCGCCTAGAAGACGATGATGGTGTTGTTGACGGGCGAACTAGGTCTTGTTCGGGGGTTAGAGATTTCCGAGAGTGTCCAAATTCGTCATAGCGGGGAGCTAGAGATTGACGGGGATCCAAGCCAGGGAGCTTTGGATTTGGTGGCATATTTTGCGTGAAGTTTGGACGAGCGGAGATGCCACCGAACGACTGTCGGCGAGCGTCCCGATAGGCCGCATTTGGAGGAAGGAAGTCGTGAGGTGGGCTAGTACCAGGCGGAAGTTGACGAGCGTCGAAAGTATAAACCGTCCTGGGTCGGTTGTCCATGATGGTAGTCATTGTCCGGGGCCTGGGTTCACCTGGCAATGGAGGCAACGATTTCTCTCTCGAGAGCGAAGGTATAGCTTGGAGTTGCTGAGGTTGTTGAACGCCATTGGGAAGCTGCGGCACAGGAGGAATGGATGAAGTGATGGCTTGAGAGAGGCGATTTCTCATGTCCGGCTCGGATGTCATGAGATGGAGATTTCTCGCAATCGGATTTTGACCCTTTCCAACCGTATCGTCATTCCGGTGTTGTTGTACCATGTCTTGCTCTTCGTAAGGAGATCCATTGTACTTTATTTCTACACCCATATTTAGCTCAGGACCCGGCGGACGTGAAGAAGCCGGAGATGGTAGAATGCTAGACGGGGCGGTAGATGGGGACATACCAGGTGAGTTTGGACCAGTTTTGGGAGATGTCGGTAGCGATGGGGTCGAGGCATGTGCACCGCGCCGACGGTCAACAAGGTAAGATAATGGAGGAGGGGGAGCCAAGGGCGTATCATCCGCGTTCCTCTCGTAGGACTGTGAGGCGTTCCTACTGCCACTTCCATCGCCCTTTGACCCTGTTACGATGGACCAAAATTTCGCCAAACCTTTCTTCTTCTTTTTGGCTTTATCTTCGGCAGGGGCATGAGGTTCTTCTGGAGGGGGTATGGCATCGGGCGGCCACATCTGACTCTGACGCTGAGCAGTACTGAAATCTGGTTGATGTCCGTATTGTGGCATCATTGAGTCTCGGTTCGAAGCCAAACTACGTCACTAGTCAGGAAGGCTGCATTCAAGCAGAAGAGATACATACTGCATATTGATCATACTTCCTGACATGCCAGAAGGTGCTAGACTGTCTTGGCTCTTCCATGGTGAACCCATGGATCTCAAACCAAAGAATCGCGTTCTTCTGGGCGAAGCAGACTTCAGACTATGGAAGTCCGAGAAGGACGTCTGAGAATAGGTGGTAGGAATATCCCCACCGGGTGCGGTAAGTGCACTACCCGGTCTCGCTAAGCTGACCTGCGAGTACCGAGAATGGGGCTTGAGACCCAGTCCACCGTCCGTGTAAGGTGCATAGCTCTGCGCTGTGCCTGCCGATAGGATTGAGTTGACATCGATAGCAGAGCTGCGCGACGACTTCCTCGCCCTCTTTTCCTCCCTCCGCCTTCGTTCTCGAGCTTCTCGCTCCTCTTTACGAACATCAACATGCTCAACAATCATGCCATTCTCGAGGAGAGTGACTTCTCGAGAGTGCGTACGAGCATGAATATTGTTTGCCGGCGAGCTCGGTGACTTTGGTGGTTTGATTCTGACACCACCAACGTCGTCAATCGGGGCTGCGGTACTACCCGTATCGTATGCTGATCGGCGAAGTTGAGAGTATGCATCCCGCATCCGGTTGTCCAATTGCTTGGCCTCTTGCATTGCCCGTGCATGTGCAAGAGCTTCGGCCTCGAGCAAAGAGCGCTGTGCCTTGATGTAGTTATTGAGCGTTTGTTGCCGTGAAGCAGGCTCCCTAGGGTTCTATTGAACATGAGCATATGGGCGATGTGAAAAATGAAATGAGACGTACAACACTCAACCATAACTTGAGATTGTGTTCCGTTAATTTTCCGCCTTTGGCCCGTGGTCGTGATTCATCCATCGTGGCGACACCACTCGCCTGCTCTTCGTCTTCCCTTCTGACGAGTTCCTCGTATTGAACATCACTATCCCTCTCCCATACACCGGGGGACGTGACGTCTACATCAGCCATATCTTGATCCCGCATAGCACACTCTACACACACATCTTCCTGAGGCGGAGGAGGGTTTGGTGTATATACGGGATTAATGGGAGATGGGGGCGCGGGAGGTGTGATGTATGTTGGCTGTTGTGGGTATGCCCGAAGATTGGGAGAAACGGGTGGTGTGTAGCCTGGGGAAGCAGAGAGAGGCATGATGGAAGAGGAATACCCCGGGACGTTGAGGTTTGCACCTGAACCAATGCCAGTGATGGGTGCACTCGGGCTACGGGGGGTGGAAGGGCCTTGTGACGCTTGTTGGGGAGTGACTGGTCGAGCGCCCAGAGGGGTGCCGCTTCTACTCCGTGACAAATCCTGTGGGGAATCCTGACCAGTGGGGCGAGGGGATGCCGAACCGCGAGAAGGAGCGCGCGGTTGGTTGTCGTCTAAGCTATATCGCTCAACGACACGGCGAGCAGGGCCGGGAGGAAGGGCGTATGACAGAGCACCACGTTGAGGTTCGGATTGGTATTGTTGTTGTGGTTGATACTGGGGTTGTTGTGGCTGGTTGGAACGTTGTTGGTTCGGATATGATTGAGGGAAGGACTGTGGATCAGGTGAAAATCTCCCGTGCTGTGATGAGGTGAGAGGTTGAGGTTGTTGCTCAGCTGGCAGATGGATAGGCGAGTCAGGGGACCACGTTGGGCCAGGTGTTTGGGAGTAAGGGTCGAAGGCTTTTCGTGCTGAGTATGTTTCGTTCGCATTGCTCGGCGAGGCCTCCCAGGCGGACCGATCAGAAGGCCCATTGAACATGCCACTGGTGCGCTGGGAACTTCTTGATTGAGGTGGTATTGTCGGGTATCGATTGTCCTTGAAATCGAGGTCGGTCATGAGGGCTCGTGGGTATAGATTGGCATGGACATTTGTCCCAGGATCGTTTCGTGTTGAATGCAAGGTGGTGGTGGCCATGAGCTTGGGGGCGGTGGGTGGGAAAGGCAGAAAAGTATAGGAGTGTCTGGCCTGGCAGAATTGCAAAATTGTCCGTTTGTTCGGAGCACGCTGGACGAGCAGCCCGCCGACGAGCTCGATGACAGTTCGACGACAAGGAGGGGGAGGGCGAGGACA